CTCTCAGCTCCTTTTCAGCAATGGTCCTCCTTAGTAACTGTGGCATTTCAACACATTGCTATTCTGGGGCACAGCATTTCTTCATTTCTTGGCTTTACACTGAGAGCTCAGTCTTTATTTTAGTCCTTCACTTGTTCCCTTCAAAACACTCATTAAACTGTCAAACAGTTCATTTGATCATGATATGCATGTGCTCTTATCTGTTTCTACTAAACTCTAAACTCTCAAAGACCCAGGCTTCCATTCTTGGTATGCCTCACCCTGAATTCTTTTTATCTGAAACATAGGAGCCAGTAGGTCCATATGAGGACAATTAAGGGACAATTGTAAATACTTTTTTTTTAAATAAGTGAGTTAGCTATATTGAAAACCCTGACCAGAAGTAAAATTTCACCTAATCTTTCAAATTCCCACCTCCCTCCAGGCTGTTATAGAATCTTGAATTCCTATTTTGCCAGGGCTCACATTGACCAATTTGTTTACATTCAACAACTCTACGCCAAGAGATCTGACCTTCTTTTTCCCTTCAGTTCAATACTTCTAATTGCCAAAACTCTATTGCTGAAAAATAGAGCAGATAGTATTTAAGGGATGGCTAACAACTAGACACCTGCTGTGCTATCATTTGAGTTGCATCAACATCAACAATTGCCTCTATCAGTTAGAGACCTGCAGTGTTGAGGTTTTCCTGCAATGCGCTGGACAGTCGCAATGGAACCCGACAGAATTTATTCCCTGTAACAAAGATGAGCCTCACATTTGACTGGACCTTGTTTCCTTTAGTGGCTTTTGTAGAGTTGTTTTTAATGAAGGGCTCTGAGCTGGACTGTGCACAAGGAGTCTTGGAGCTTGGCCCATGTGATAGAAAAGACTTTTTGATTTCAGTGGTCAGGCCATTTTTTACTTATTTTTGCTCAGTGACAAACACAGACAGACATTCACAAGTCTTTCCAACATGCTTAGCATCCACATACAGTTCAACAAAGCCAGTCAGCCAATGTTCAAAGTGAAGCACATTTCATAGAAGGCAAAGATTGTGTATAGCGTTCATTCTCAGTGAATTTTCACATTTATCTTCTCAAAAGAATGTCTTCTTTGTGCTTTTGAGTAAAGAACAACTTGAGAGAACATTAGAATTCAGGGAAAATATTCAGATTTTGGAAGGGGAAAAAAGCTTTACTGGCAGTCTCATTTTTAACAACAGTTGTATCACCTTTAATTCACTTGAACACCCGCATATCTTTTAAAACCTGCTTTCTCACCACGCTGACAGTTAGATTTTTATCTCTTCACTGTTAATATTTCTCTAGAGAGTACATTACTGCATCATTTTGACAAACTTGAATGCGAAGAGATGAATGTTCCTCATCTCTGAAAAATTTCAGGGCAAGTTGCTTTAACCAGCTTCCTGTTTTCAGAGGCTATTTTTCTGCCATCCCTTCAGATCTATCAAAGCTCAGTTAATTCTTTGAGCAGCCACATTTTATAAAAAGTGGAATGCTCACAGTAGTACTCATAACTCTGAGGTCTGGAGCCATGCTGACTACTGTTATGATCTCGAGGACCATCTGTGCTGATGCAGAGCAAGACCTGTTGTCACAAGGCCCCACAGCCACCCACTGCTCGGCATGCAGAGTGATGCTCACCTGCTATTCTCTTGCTTTCTGGAAATCCCCTTTTCCTGAGGCCTCTGGTTTCCAGCTGAGCGGAATGGAATGTCTTCATGTGATAGCATTCAAAATATTTTGCTGAGGGAACATGGATGGGTGTAGAGGAAAACAGATTAATGGGAAATCAAATATTCCTATCAGCTGAAAGCTCCCTTTGGCAGTTAGAGAGCAACTTTTAAATGATAGTATAGAAAATGTACCATCCAAAAAAATCTGATGATCTGAAGTAGAGAAGTGGTAAACAAAATACGATGTACTCGTAGACTAGGTCATGGGGTTGATACACTACACTCTGCAGGACAAAGAGGCCTCACTGCCTATTTTTGTGCAGCCTGTAAACTATAAGTGGTTTCTACAATTTTAAATGGTTGGAAAAAAAAGAATAATAATATTACTATGACACTTGAAATAAAGTTTTATTGGAGCAGAGTCAAGACAATTTATTGATATAGCATCTTCGTTTGTTTTCATGCTAAAACAGTTGAGCACTTGCATAGTTCAGTAATTTCAATGGAGACCATGTGGCCCTAAAAGACTCAAATATTTACTATTTGCCCTTAACCAAGTTTGTTGACCATTGGGTTAGATTACTACTGTACCATCGTTAAAGTGACTCATTTAAAAGTATTTCATTATAAGAGAAATGATTGTGATATAATATTTAGTGAATTAATTACATAAACTGTATATAAAAGATGATCCCAGATAGTTTATTTTCTTAGCATAATTTTCGTCTCTTTCCCCCAGTGGAAATTTTGTAAGCTTTATGAAACAAAAAAAGCGTGAATTAATTCACGTCTAGAATAGTGCTTGCTACATAGTAGATGCTCGATAAACAAATAAAGGCCGGTTGAAGACTGATGAATTATGTAATTGTACAATATATGTATGTAATAATAATCATAGAGAAACCTTTCTGAGATGTGCAAATATGTTACGTGCCAGGTTGAGAACTTTAAGTATGTGAACCCCTTTAGTCCAACAAAGTCCTTTTGGAAGGTACATTATCACCCTCATTTTACAGAAGAAAAGCACAAGGAGAGGTTGCATGACTTGTCTAATGTTACAAAGCTAAGACGTAATGTGACCAAAATTGAAAAGGTCTGTTGGATTCCAGAGTCTGTGCTCAAACCATAAGCCATACTCCTTAAATTTCTAAAAACAAATTTAATTTTCTTACCTGTCTTTCAGGTGAGAAAGGGGTGGGAAAATATCAGAGGTAAATATCCAAATCATAAAACCAATGACTAGGATAGGAGATTATAGATGATTTTTGTTTTCTTAGCTATACATTTTAATGTTTTTCCATGTTTCTTAAAATGAGTGGATTTACTTTTAATTGCTTTTAAAATAAGAAACAAATGTTTCTAAAGGAAAGGAAAGACAGCTCAGAAGGTTGTTAACCATTTCCATTGTTTATGTAGATCCTTTCCTTGTTTCTCTGAGGAAACCGGGCTGGCCTGTCTGTCTTGAGTTGATTTGTGGTGTGAAGCTTCAGTATTAGGTTTCAACTCCCTTTGAACACTTCCTAGCACTGGGAATGCAAAGTGCTATCTGTGTATCACTTTGGTCCAAAGACGACGACCCATAGAACTTCTTGGTGTTTATCTTTAGAAGTCTGAAGTACCCATGTCTTTGAAAGCTGTGTTGTGTCTTCTGCTCGCGTTTGGTTACGTTGGTCTATATGTATCTCCCATTGCATAATGGATGGCTTTTGCCTGGAATATATTACTATTATTTTAAAAATTGGCAAAATATTCAGAGTACACACATTTAAAATTATATTTATATTATATCTAAGAAGATAATTAGGTCCCAGTTGCCCCCATATCATTTAACAAAGTAAAAAGAAATAAAAAGGAGAGTGATAATGTTAAAAATGAAGTTCTTTACTTATGGTTCATGTTTTTTCTCTCTGCTGTTCTCTTAATTGTATGCCAATGACTGTGGCATATTTTCCACAATCTAAAGGACTTTTCACATGCCTTGGCCTAAATTTCAAGGCTAAGAAGAGAAAGACTTTTTTTAAAAAACAAAACAAAACTGGAATATAGGTGATTAGAATGATTAAGTGAATACTGTTAAAATTATTGAGGTCACTGTAACCCCAAATTCAAGAGTGGTTAGAGAAGATGACTGTTTCCTGTATTTAAGACCAGAGATAAAAACTCTACAAGAAGCAGGCAGGCAAGGTGGGAAAACGAAAGTCTTTAACAAAAAGGAAAACAGTTATATTTTGAGAACTACATAGGTTGTTTAAAAGGGCTTTTAAAAATTCCTGTGATGTGTCTAGACATTCCAGTCATAATTTCAGAGGCTTCTGTTGTCCAGGCCTGTTAAGAGTGAGTTAAGGGCTTGTTGTTTTTTCCAGATCTTGGTGACTTTTTTTTGTTTTTTGTTTTCCAAGAGCATCATTCTGATTTCTGAATTATAAGCAAAGCTGCTCAATGTCATCTCTTAGTGACTTTATTTAGCAGAAATGGGGGCTTGGGAGTGATGTCATTGGTTTTAAGCCTGAAGTGTCATTCAGTGGATGCCATCGTGGTCTTCTCTGTTTATGGTGGCTTCAGTCAGGCTTGTCATTTTTATGCAGTTTAACAATGACATTTCTAAACTACTAAGAGTGAGACAAAAACAATTCGAGTGACAGGTATTTTGAAAAATCATCTGTACACATCACATGCAGTTGAAGAAATGACATTTGCTTAAATACACTTTGTGAGGTTATATGTGAGTAAATGACCTATTACCAAGAGCGCTGATGTTTCTATCAACAAACAAAAAACCACACTCTTGCTTATTTCTCTTTGGAGATTGTAGTGACTGGTGTGAACCATACAATTTCACTTTTAAATTTGCGACTTCTAAAGATTCTTTTTCTTCCTGACATCAAAATGCAGCCTCAGAAAATCAGACAGTTATTACAAATAGAGAGCTGCTCCACTCAGACATTGAATAGACAATTATAAGTGTCTGGATTCTTTCCTTTTTTGTGGCGGCTACTTTTAGATGTGGAATAAAACCACATTAACCAGAGGACGTTGTTATTGGTGGTTAGTGGCCAATTGTTGCCACATCTATAAAATATCTTGCTAAAATTTTTTTTTATTGTCTAACAATACCTTTCTATTTTATAAGACTTCTCTCAGGAAGTACTCTTGAGGTATAAAATATTAAAACCTCAGAAGACAAAAGGATCATAACATATTACCTAATCAAGCTCTTACATTTGACAGGTGAGAGCATGAAGCTGTGAAAGTGGGTGACCACCCAAGGGTACGCACTGAGCAGCAGGATGCTAAAAGCATGTTTGTTTTTCGAATTCCCTAGATGGCCGCCCATGTCCTGTCATACTCTGGGATTCATCTTTATCTCCAACAAGTAATGAGACCCACTCTTCTGTTAAGCTCACCTGGGGAACCTACCAGCAGTTGCTAAAGCAGAAGTGCTGGCAGAATGGCCGAGCACCCAGACCTGAATGGGGCTGTACTGAAGTACATCACCATGAGTGGTCCAAGATGGCCCTCTTTGATTTTCTGTTACAGGTAAGTTCATCAACTCAAGTAAGTGGTTTTCTAAGATGAACCCTGAGTTATATAAGTCTGACACTAGGAATTTGCTGCACCTTGAGTTTTTATGAAGCCAGACTTTAAGTTCTACAATGTTATATTTGGCAAGTATAGTACCACATGACACAATCTTATGTCCTTTAGGGAAATATTTAGAAATATCCCTCAGCTCTTTTACTAATTTCTGAGGAAGCAATTCTTCAGTATTTCAATCTTGCAATAGATGTACTCACCGTAGATACATTTTGTTGAGAGAACCCATCAACAGTTCTTCAAGGTGGATAGTCTTACCCCATATAGGAAGTGAGTAAATTGATAAGGTGAAGTAACTAATGCAAGTTCTTAAAACTACTGAAAGCTGGAGCTGAGATTCCCTGGTATCTGTCAAAGGTAAAAGTTTGTCTTCTTTCCCTCATTCCTCACTGTGTTTCAGTGGTCACATGGCCACACAGCTTACAACCACCACTTCCCTTGTTTTCCTTCCAGTGATTTTTTGCAAGTGTCTTATTAAGAGTAGACACTGGAGAATAATAAATATTGATCATCTACGTAATTGAGTGCCTCGACATTTTATAGGTTTCTTATAACTCAACTCCTTTTGATAAAGATCCCATGACTTGGTCCACCCCCTCATTCCGATTTCTGCTTTTTCCTGTCTCCATTAAAAAACAACAACACTGATTTTCTGTTGTGTTGTTAATTAGTATTTCGTGGAAATTTAAGACTATCTTAGACATTTGCAAAACATTCTCCTTTTGTGTGTGTGACATTTCAGGAAGGAACTAAAGAGAGAGAAAAACGTAGGAAGAAAACAAATTTAGTTCAGAGTCACAGTCTAGGGATTCGAAACTTTCAAGGAGAGAATGACTTATGGTGTCAGTGCCGCAGAGCCACCAGAGAGAGCGGAGCTGGAAAGCATGACATTTGGTTTGGCAAGGAGGCAGTCAAGTCACCAGATACTGCTGAAGGGTCCAGCTGCAAGGCTCAGGCTGGCTCTAAGCACCCTCTCCATTTTACAGGTAGGGAAGCCGAGGCATAAAGGGGTTAAAGAACTGTGACAGGCCTGAGATCTTACCCGTCTTGCAGGCTAACAAGTCAGCCAGCCCCATGTTCATGGATGCTAGCAGAAACAAAAGACTCCCGAGCCAAACCCAAGTGACCTCATTACTCACGGCATGAGCTTCATGGTCCGTTGCCCCTCAAGTGCCGTTGGGGTGATACAAAGTGGCCCTGGTGAATGCTGCATATAGTGGGGCTGTGTCACTGCTGAGAGCTCTAAGTTTAGGAAACCCCCAATCTTATAGGAGGCCGCTAGCAAACCTGCTTAAAACCTGCCCCAGTGGGAGACAGTATCTTTATTGTCTTGGTCAGGAAACAAACCTGTCTTCCTTCCTAGGGGAGATACCCTTTGTGTTTTCCAAGGCTGTTTGCTATACTAACATACTTGTAGAGATAGTGCAGAGTAAAACCTGGTATAAGGTGTACAGAAATACCATGGAGAATTTTCTCTCAACAGTTACCTAACTTGCTTGGTGTTAAATAGTAAGTAAGTTCCCAAATAGAGATTTCAGCAGGTTTGACTAGCTCTAGGTTTTGTATTTTTAACCACTATTGTAATAACAACTGCCAAATTATTCTTCGGTTAATAGAAGAAGTCAGTGTGATAAAAATGTATTAGCAATAAAGAATGAATGAAGAGTTCTAGGGTTAAGTTGGAAAAGGCAGTCACGATGTGGCCAGATGTTTGGGGAGTGGGCAGTATGGATGTTAAAGTTCTAAAGATGACGACTAGGGAGGGGAAAGCTATGCACCTGGTGGTGACGTCCATGAGAAAGGGATGACCTTGAGGTTTGTAGCTGATGAACGTAAGAGCTAACCTGTGCTGAATAGAGGGCAAACCCTTTTAGAAGTTGTCTCTAGTGATATTTGTTTTAATTCTGGGATCTTCAACTAAATCTCATCCCACCCTTTGTCTTTATCATTGAGGAAAGCTACAAATATCATTCAGCCAATGAATATGTATTTATTCATATTCAACATCTACTGTGCATTATACTACAGAAAACAACCACGGGGGCAGCAAAGCAGTATAAGACTGTATCCCCACTGCCCCACTCCAAGTTTGATCTTTTAAAAAAAATATTTAGTTTGAAAAATATGGTGCATAAAACAAAAATATAGATTCATGTAAGAATGGCTGGCTGAAATAATATGTTCTTATTGTTATGCGGTCAAAAGAGGGAGAGCACTTTGCCATAAGATAGTTAGTGAAGGAGGAAGAGTGAGTGGCACTGTAGACTGCAAAGGATAGAGAGGGCAGGCAGAACGTGAGGAGGGACACGGGAATGGCAATATTCATATGATTTTTAGGGCATCCTAAATATACCATTTGCCTTAAGCAGTTATTTAGGGGAGCGGTGATGCATTCTGCCTGAAAGAGATATAATAGCTCATGGATATAAGAGAGCTGTTTTCACAAGATGCATGTTCATTTTGTAACTCTCCGTTCATTACCCTGACTGAGCAGGAACAGGTTCCAGGTGAGCCAGTCTCCTTCTGAGCGCATCTGCAGCTTCTATCATCATTGTGGGCTTGAGGACACATATGGGCACATGAGTTATTATTATAAATTTTCAACAAAGATAGATGCATATTTCAAATTCTTAAACTGATACTATTAATAATCTAACAATCATATAACACTTACTATGTTCCTGGCACTGCCCTAAGCACTTGATACTAAGCACTAAGATATTAACTTATTTAATCTGCATGTCAACCCCATGAAGTAGACACTATTATTAGTCTTATTTTAGATTCGAGGAAATGTAGGCAAAGAGAAATGAAGTAACTTGGGCAGAGTCACATCGCTGGTATGCAGTAGAACTTAGAGTCAAACGCAGGAGTTCTGGCTTGAGAGACAAACTTCTGAACATCTCTCTATTCATTTTATGGGGGAGGTACCCTTATCATCTACTTTTCCAAGTCAAAAATTTGGAAGTTACCTAGGTGCTTTGTGATCTATACTCACACATCCATTTAGTGGTATCCTTGGTATCACCCAAATCTACCTTTTAGGCATAGTTTATGTTTTATCTTAGGCCAGGCTTTGTCATTTGTTGCTTGGATGACCCTCCAATCCGTGCACACTCTATGAGCCAAGGTCACCTTTGGCTTGAGATATTGGACGTCAGGCTGCTGGTACCTCTGTAGGAACTGATTCTGTTGCGAGGCCAGTTCTTTTTGTAGTCGACCCTCTTGTCCCTTCTACCCGGAGAAGGGTTGGGGGTGGGAGTGAAAACTTTCTCGATCTTGATCATCTATGAGGATGAGATCTCTGCAAGACTTAACCTGTTGAAGTTATGATACCAAGATTAGAGTTCCTAATTTTGGCTCTGGTTAAAAAACACTGAATCTAATTGCCAGAAATTAATTTGATTATTAAGACTTAATTTGCTTACTATTTACAAAAGTATATCAAATGATATGTATGAGGATGGTATCTCTGAGAATGGACTTACATTTATTCATTTATCTAACATTTATTTGCTTCCCACTGTGCAATGGACAAAAGGCTAATTTCCTTTAGCTGTTGCAGCATTTTATAATTTCACCAGTAAAGTATAAGGGTGCCTGTATCCCTCTTTCTTACCAATTTTGAGAAGTGGAAAACTAATTAAAGTTTTGGCTAATTTTATGGAGAGTAGTGAGGTCTTGTTTATATTTCCAGTTCTTTCATTATGAGTGAGATTGAGGATATGCATATTTTCAAATATCGATTATTTGTATTTCTTTTTTTGTGAATTGTGTATGCAAATCATCGCCCTTTTATAACATTATTGATTTATAAAAACATTTTGTATATTATGAAAATTTGTATTTATCAATCCTATATGTCTCAAATGACTTTTCTCACATTGTTGTTTTTCTTTTGACTACTCATAGTAGATTTTACTCCAGAGAAATTTTACATTTTTAATAAATCATATCTTAATTGATCTTTTTAATGATTATATTTACCATCGTATACTGTTTATAGAGATGTAGACTGAGCAAATAAATGAATAAATAAACTTAGTTCCTTTTTCATGAGTACCATAACAAGTAGTTATCTTTTATATAATAATCCTTTTCATTAATTTCACTGACGTTTTTATTTTAAAGTCAATATATGCCTTATTTAAATGGTGTTTGGGGATGTACTGGAGTATATTGAATGATTTTGTGAAAAATCTTAGAAAAGCTATGCCTGAAGCTAACTAAAATTACTTGTTCTATGATGCTTCATCAAGGGCGAGAGAATACAGAATCCAGTTGTTGACTTTTCTGTACACAACATTCTTTTTGTTTTACCCAATTAACAAATCTACATTCACAAAGGCTATGCCATTTTACTGGGTCTGTAAAATGTAATGGAGGCACAAGTAACCTTTTATTCATCAAGTGTGGGGGTGTGAACTTCGTACACAAAGTTCACCTCCATTAGGATGACAAAGAGTAGTATTTAGAGAGCATTTGAGTTTCCAAGGTTTGGTCAAATTTCTTTCAAAAGCTCATATAAAATAACAGGAAAAGATTTAAGATGTAGAAATCTTGCCTTTTGATCTCGGAGATAGTCTGTATAATGGTTAGAAACTAAGGTTCTGGAGCCAGCCGGCTAAATTTGAATCCCAACTGCCAATAAGAATTTAAAAAAAAATATATTTTCTTTTTTGTTTTTTAAAAAAATATATCTGTATTGATTTCAGAGAGAGGAAGGGAGAGGGAGAGAGAGTTATAGAAACATTGATGAGAGAGTCATTGATCGGCTGCCTCCTGCAATTCCCCTACTGGGGATCTAGCCCCCAAGCTGGGCATGTGCCCTGACCAGAAATCGAACTGTGATCTCCTGGATCCTAGGTCAATGCTCAACCACTGAGCCACACCTGCCAGGCAAATACAAAATTTTTAACGTTGAGAAGTTACTTAACACCTCT